CCCCCCCCCCCCACCTTGGGAATGCTAAACACATACTCTGACACTGAACTATGCTCCCAGCCACCCAAAATAATATTTATATAAAAAAAGTGAAAGATATAAATGATCATAGAAATTAAACAGAATATGAAAATTTTAGATCATTCCGTGTTCAGTCCAACACATGACATTATTAATACTAAGGTAATTATTAAATATAGAAATAATTTTATATGATTTACTTTATTATGCTCATTACTGAAAATAATTCAAGTAGTGATAATCTGAACTGTTACTTTTAGTAATGAAAATATGTTTGATCTTAAACAACAACAGAAAAATTAAAAGGGTCGTGAAAAGGTCATCTGTAGTCTTGGAGCCGTCAGAAGACTGCTAAGTTCGTGCTTCAGCGCACAGTTATTCCCAGTTATTATTTTATAGTTAAAATTATACTTTTATACTCAAAGCCTTATTCTGGCTCTTAATGTCTATGTTTAAGGTTTTGCTGTCTATTTAGTAACTGGGTACTGAAATTTTTCATGCTGAGAGATTTTTTTTTTAAAAAAAGCTATTTTCATGCCTATAAATTGAAATCTTAACTTTTTTTGCAGGCCAACTTTACAAGAAGAAAAGAGAATCATGATAAAAAATGGAAGGCATCCTGTGATTGACGTGTTGCTGGGAGAACAGGATCAGTATGTTCCCAATAGTACAAATTTATCAGTAAGTACCACATTTTAAGATTAAAAAAAGTAAAAGATGATAACATTGATTCCAGCTTTTTGGAATATCACATAAGTATTTTTTTATATTTATTTTGTAGTTGTACTTGGACACAGTACCTTTATTTTATTTATTTATTTTTATGTGGTGCTGTGGATTGAACCCAGGGCCTCGAACATGCTAGTGAGCCCTCTACCACTAAGCCACAACCCTACCTCCATAGATATTTTTTTCCCCATAAATATTTTTTATAATTTAAAATTATCCAGGTTTTAACTTTGGCTTTAAATGGACTAATCCTGGGTATAGTTTCATATTCACTATTAAATATGGAATTGATTCAAATTCCAATGAAAATTTATTCATAGATGGAAAGATTTAGCAACTGAAGAGGATTATCTTAGTTCTCCTAGGTAACACAATAACAATATTTACCAATACCCAAATATGCTGATGAGACTGGAATCACACCAGGGTTTTGTAAATTCCTATTATCATATAGTGTTATATGCTTTGTCGTGTGTTCCACTATTTTCAGATGCTCTGGGAAAAAAGACAAAACAAATGCTTTACCTCATTCCATGATAATTTTCATCATATGGGCTTGAGTTCTCTATAGAACATTAATGACCCTGAATACTTAACTCATTTAGCACATACTTAATGAGTGCCTCAGGTAGTTAAGTGAGTATTAGGAACAGAGAGTAGTAAGCTATTTGGAACTTCTCCCTGCCCTTGCAGAGCTGTGGCCTAGCAGAGAAGATGGACGGACTAATATAGTACAGCTTATTTAGTGCTAGAATGTTGTTAATCAATGTATTCTGGGAACAGGTAACAGCTTGACCTAACCTAGTGTGGGAAATATGAAGAAGGTTCCCCAAGGTGACATACAGACTGAAGAATGAGTCAGTGTAAGCTAGGGAGAGGGGGGAAATATGCTACATAGAGGAACCAACCTGGCAGAGACTGGAAGTAAGGCGGACCAGGGTGAACTTAAGGAACTGAAAGATATTAAGTGAGGTAAGGGCACAGAGCATAAGAAAAGATGTGTTTAAAGATAAGGAAGAGGCCAGTTTACTTATAGGTTTTGTTCAGAAATGTACATTCTTAAAAGATTGAGAATACTAGCAAGAGAGTGAATTGGGAAAAATATGAATTGTGGCAGGTGTGTGAGTTACATTGAAGTTACATTATCAGAGCTAAGCAGAGCCAAATACTAAAGTGGTAAGGATAGATTTTTATCCAGTAATATTGTTGTAATAAGGAAAAGAGCCCAGCATGACTTTGACTTGACTAATTTGTGCAGGGGCTAAAAGGAGAATGAGAAATTGGCAGGGGGGTGAACTGAAAGGGGTGGGGTGAGATTGGTTAATGTGAAACCTGTCTGAATTTGTTAACCTGTACTTATACCACAGTTCAGAGAGCTAGCTCTTATTCCCTGAGAGGACAGTCTGGGTGGTAAAATATATATATCTCAAAGAGGCAGAGAAATAATTTAGAATTGCAAGCTTTCTAAAGTAACTGCTCTAAGAAAGGCCTTAGTGGTCTATCTGCCTATCACCAAGTTTGTGCTGGAACAAATAGTAAATTCTCCTGGCAGCACTGTGTTTTCTCAGGCAGACACTGTAAGAGAGTCTGGTTCTTCTAAGGATGCTGTCTTGAGCTGTTGAAAACTATGCTAGTGTTCACGTATTTTTAATGAGGAGGGTGGACTAAATTATTTGTGTTCAGAGTTTATAATTATTGAGGCTGAAGTTGAGACCTAGTTGAGAAAAGGGCAGTGGTGCTGACTAGTGGTTGATCAAGGAGACAGCCTTCATCAACATTAAAATAATGTGCAATTGGGGCCAAAGAATATGTAAGAAATAATTGAGAGATTGTATCTGAGAATGAGGTGCCGGTCTTTAAGATTTCAGAGGTGGTATTCTTTTGGGTGATGGTAGGATCTAGGTAAGCCTTGGAAGGTGGGTAGCAGAAGGAAGAAGGTATTTGGAAATGAGCTCAAGAAAGAGAATTTGGGAGTCATCCATGTGAATGTTGAGATTGTCGAAGGTACCAAGGGATCTTTTGTGGAAGATGATAGTGATCCAGGTGTCAGAGATTATAGGGCATGGGCACTGGTGACATAAGGTTTCTAGGTGCCTTCAGTGAGGATAAACAGAAGTGGTAAGACCTAAAGAAGCAAAGAAAGACTTCTGAGTCCTAAGTTGCATTGGGTAGGATGTGGCTCAGCTCCCAAAGAGAGGACTGCAAGGGAGTTTTCATCTAAGTCAGTGTATGAAGAAAATGTTAAGCAAATGGTTAAAAATATACAAGTATCAAGAAATATTTCTGAAGACAATGAAGAATTAAGATGTAATGGGGCAGTCAGATAGTAGACCAGAACTTCAGGGAGTTGGGACTATTACAAAATATTCCATCTTGGACCATGACTAAGGGGGAGAGACATGTGGCATGGTGAATTTGGCTGGTCACAAGACTGGTAATCTAGTTTCATGTTGCATTTGATATTATACAAAGGCTTATTGGTAGTTTGTAACCTTATTATCTTAGTTGGTTCAGGCTGCCGTAACAAAACACCATAGATGGGGTAATTTATAAACAACAGAAATTTGTCTCTTGTAGTTGTGGAGGCTCAGAGGTCTAAAATCGAAGTCTCCGTATCTTGTGAGGCCCTGTTTCCTGGTTTGTAGATGCTACCTCACTGTGTCCTCACATGGTGGAAGACTTGACAGATCTCTCTTAAGCCCTCATGACCTAATCACTTCCCAGAGCCCCCCACCTTCTAATGCCATCATCTTGGGAGTTAGAATTTCAGCATATGAATGTGGGGGTGGCATGGAGACACAAATATTCAGACCATGGCAATCCAAGGACTACTGTCTGTAAATTGTTTACTCTCATTAGAAAATTTGTCTATTACTTAATATATCAAATAAGACAATAAGTACTGATCTTTCATTGTCTTTAGAAAGACATAATTCCCTTTTCAGTTCTCATAATAACAATGGGGTATAACTTTTCTTGAGTAAGTAATATAGTTCCAATAGATAATAGCTTGGTTTATATTTAACTTATTAGTCACATAAAAATCTTTTCCTGTTACTGGGTTCCCATGGCCATCAGCTAGATCCCAAGTATGTTATTCTTGACCTTCCTTCCTTCCTTCTTTTCTTTCTTCATCCCCCCTTAAAAAAAAAAAAAAAAACATTACATTATACTATTTAATACAGAAAGATTTGAAGAACTAAAATAACCTTCTAATTACAAGGATGTTTTAAAGAAATATTGCACTCATATTTAAATCTTTACAAAATAAATGGAATGATTTTTTTTTAACCATCAGGCACCTCAGAATATTCCAGAATATTCATTTCTTTTACATATGCTTTTTCTAACTCGAGTAGGAGTTGATATAAAACTGTTGCTATGGTGAAGTGTATTCTATTTTTCAGGGTATAAATTTATATATAGGGATAATGTTGAGAAAGAACTTACTATGTGAAATTCACTGTATATTATGGCTATTAATTTATAAAATATGCCCTAAAAATAATTTCCTCAAAGTTGAATGGCATTGTTCCTTTGATAACCATTTAGTTTTAAGAAATAGTCTTCCATACATGTAAATTATAAATATGATTGATTTTCTGGATTCTGTATTATATGAAATTATTCCAGTGCTACTGAACAAACCAACTTTCTGCCCACTTTTCTTCTCCCCATTTTAAGAATGCTTTTTAAGCCCCCTGCCCCCTGCCCTTTTCTTCTTCCATAATTCATTGTGTAATCTAAGTATTATATTGATTTGGCAGCTTCTGGATCTTCCTACCTTCATCTTGCCCCTCTCCAATCACTCTCCACTCTGTAGACAGCCACAGGGCCTTTTCTGACCTGTCATGTCATTCTCCCATTTGAATCCATGCTTTATGTTCCAACCATATAGACTTCTTACACTTCCCAAGTATCTGTGGGACTTGGCAGATGGTATCTGCTGCCTGGAATGTCATTTTTCTCCACCTTCCCTCTTCTCACCCACACTCACAACCCACTCCACCCCACTCTCTAGCTAGCTCCTGATAATTCTTCCAGTTTTGTCTTGGATGTACCTTCTTACATGAAGCTTTCCCTCACCGAGGCTGGGATGGGCACCCCAATCTCATACCTACCTATGTTTCTATCTTGGTATCTATCCCACCAAATTATAATTTATTTTTTCTTTTTTTTTCATTTGTACTTCCCAGCAGACTGTAAGCTTGAAGAGAACAAGGAATATTTCCCTCTTTTTGTAGGTGTAATTTCACTATTAATCACACATCTCTAGCACATAACAGGAACCTAATCAGATTTGTTAAATAAGGATTAACTAGAAGCTTCAGCAGTCTCCAAGTCTCACTTTAAAATTTTGCCTTTTTGTTCCATAAAATGTTACTTTTCAGGATACTATGGAGTTTGGATCAGGTGGGGGGTGGGGAGGGTTTCACATTGCAGAATAACTGCCCTGTAGAACTAGAAGAAAAATTTTGGATTTTGTAGTACAACATCTCTTCATACTTGTGAATAAAATACATCCCAGAATAAGGAAATAACCTTTCATAGGTTGCCCAAGTTGGATAGTCTTAGACTCTTTCCCCAAGCACAGATGTATTCTACGGCAAACCAGTGCTTTCCAAACTTTTCACTTCACTGAACCTAGAAAATGGTAATATTTTGATGGTTCACTGGAATTAAAGGAGAAGGTAGAGGTTGCTCAGAGCCAAAGGAGATTGGCCCAGAGGCTGTGGTCACCCAGCCCCACCTGCCACCTTGAGGATTAATTGGTCAGAGTCATGACACACCTCCAGCACTATGAAAAACCAAGACATACTCCTTGGGAACCTTCACTATAAGACACTGCAGTCTCAACCCTCCGTGATTGTTTGTTTATTAAACCAAACAGCTTTCTTTCTATTAAATAGATTTTGATAGCAATTAAAATTGAGGATTTGTTTGTGGAGTTC